ATGGGATGGGTGGGAAGGGACCTCCGAGCTAATTCCGTCCCACTCCCTGCCACGGGCTGGGACACTTTCCTCGGAGCAGGTCGTTCCCAGCCCCGTCCTGCCTGGCCCTGGGCGCTCCAGGGGTGGGATAAATTCCGTGTTGGAGCGCCCGGGGGGCTGAAGGGGCAGAGCCCCGGGAACGTCCTGTGGTTACCCGGCTGGGCAGGGCGAGATCTGGGGCTCCCCAGGTCGGCAGGGATGAGGGCTGACAGAAGTACCCTCGCAGACACGGCTGACAGGTTGGGAGTGTGTCGCTGGGAGGGACGGGGCTGTCCTGGGGAGCTGGGGAGGTGGGAGCCGGGCAGGGTTTGGGGACATTCCGCCCTTCCCGTGTTCCAGGGTCAGGGTGGGTTAAGCTGAGCCTTGTCCCACGGCCGGGGCTGGGACAGACTTCCAAGGAAAGTGGTGCTGAGGGCTCTGACAGACGCGGGTCGGACAGGCTCAGAGCAGCGTCTGCTGTGTGTTGACACGTCTCTCACTGCAGATTGGTTTGGAGCTTATGGAGACAGATCTTGTCTTTAGAAAGGCAGTTCCATCTCCTGACCATCTGTAGTTCTGCTGCTCTTACATCTAAAACTGTCCTGGTTGATTTTTTTGTTTTTTATCAGGTTGTCTTTCCTTCTCTGTAGTTTTTGCTGTTTGTGTTCTGAGCTGGTTCTTCCAATATAATTAATTAATTATGTATGTACTGAAATTAATTAAAACACTATAATATAGGTAACGTTTGAACAGCCAGAAGAACAGATGTGGGAGAGGGAAGAATAACTTGTATTAAATGTGACTTATGTTTAAAAAAAAAAAGAATAGTAAAAATTTCCCAGTCTTCTTACAGAAGAAATTCTCCCTTGTGAGAGGGATGAGGCTGTGGCACAGGTTGCCCGGAGAAGCTGTGGCTGCCCTATCCCTGGAAGGGTCCAAGGCCAGGTTGGAGGAGGCCTGGAGCAACCTAGGATAGTGGAAGGTGTCCCTGCCCATGGCAGGGTGTGGGACTGGATGAGCTTTCAGGTCCCTTCCAGCCCAAACTAGTCTGGGATTCTGTGACTCTACTTGTATCTTCACAGAATTCTGTTTTTGCAGTAAATAGATCTGACATCTCTCATGCAAGTACTTGTCCCTATCACACAAGGGAGCCTATCTATGCTTTTAAACATCAGGGTGTTTTGACTCAGATAAAGCTCTGGGATTGTTTGTCTTCCTTAAGCTGGTCAGGGTATCAGAATCACTGTTGGGATAATCCTGTAACCCATCCCTTTATTGTGTCGTGACATTACAGCATTGTCTGGTATTTATTTATTTATTACAAATCTGCTGTCTGATCCATAGATGTAAAGAAACCTTAATTTAATCCTTTCTTAAATAAAATAAATCAAACTCTTCCTTTCCCTAAAGCAGAGGGGTTTGTCGGGGGGGTCGGCTGTGTCAGGAGCCCTGGGGGCTGCACCAGGTCGGGTGTGCCTGACACCTGCATTAATTAGTGCTTCCCCTGGGACTTCCTCAATACTCCCTTTGTTTCTGTGGCAGAATGTGGAGAGGCTTCTGTTACACGAGCTGATCTTACCGGAGCCCTTCTGGTGCACTTCCTATCCCAGGCAGGAGTTCACTCTCAGACCCACGGCTGGGCTTGTCATCTCACGCTTCCTGTTTTGAATCACCCTGCAGGTTCCTGAAAGTGCTTGGCCCTGGCTCTGCAGCCTCTCCCCTCTTGTCTTCTGTATCAAAACCAGTGTGGGCAGCAGGACCAGGGCAGGGATTGTCTCTCTGTGCTGGGCACTGCTGAGGCACCTCGAGTGCTGTGTCTGGTTCTGGCCCCTCACGGCAGGAGAGGCATTGAGGGGCTGGAAGGGAACAGAGCTGGGGAACGGTCTGGAACGCCAGGAGTGGCTAAGGGAGCTGGGGGGGCTCATCCTGGAGAAAAGGAGGCTCAGGGGGGACCTTCTGGCTCTCTGCATCTCCCTGACAGGAGGGTGGAGCCAGGGGTGGTCGGGCTCTGCTCCCAGGGAACAAGGGACAGAATGAGAGGAAACGGCCTCAAGCTGTGCTAGCAGAGGTTCAGGTTGGACATCAGGAGGAATTTCTTCATGGAAGGGGTGGTCAGGCATTAGAAGGGGCTGCCCAGGGAAGTGGTGGAGTCCCCATCCCTGGAGGTGTCCAAGGAACGACTGGACATGGCACTCAGTGCTCTGGGCTGGGGGACAAGGTGGGGATCAGTCACAGACTCGATGGTCTGGGAGGTCTTTTCCAACCTAAATGATTCTAGGATTCTGTGTATTTTGGTACTGGCTTAAGCATATCCTGATCAAGTCCATAACTGGATCTCTCTTAAAAATGGCTCAAATAATTTCCAGCACAGATGCTTCATTCCGTTAAATTTAAACCCAAAATATCCATTTTGCCATAAACTGAGAGCACTTTCTGCTTCTTCAGCCTCCCTAATACCACATTCCTTCTCCCTTTCCCATCCCCATCTGTTCTTTGGAACAAGTAAATGGTGCTAAGCCAGGTATGGATTGACGTGAGGGGCCACAGATGCAGAAAACAGGTTGCAGTGCTTCGCTTTCCTCTGCTTTTTGATCAGTGCTCTCCCCTGTGCACGGCATCAAATCCATCCTGCTCTGTGTCCTTTGGGCTCCTGGAACCTTTGCAGGAGCAAAGAGCCTTCTCTTGGCCCAGTGTGCTCAGCTGCTCAGTTTCCCTGCTGAATCCATCTGTTGTCTTTCCTTTTGTTTTCCTTTTACTGCATTTATTTGCATCCCACCGTCCCCATTTCCAGCAGTGCCCTTTTTTGAGGGACTCTACCTAAACACAAACCCCTTCAGCAGTGCGATTTCTCTTAGGTACAATGTGCAAGCTGAAATTACAAGCAAAGCCTTGGCTTTTATTCTTCAGCAGAGTTTTTAAACCCCTTTTTCTGCTATGAAATGACCAAATAAACAGTGGCTGATTTTATCGGGGTGAGTTGCTGTTGTTTGGAGCCAGTTGAGTTGGGTATTGGGGTGGATGTAAAGAAAACCCCTAATGCTGACTGTTGGTTGTGCAGTGAGTGATGCTCAGGAGCAGCCTGGGAGCAGTGACAGGAACAGGAAAGGGAAGGATCCCAAAGGATGTGATCTGTGTGTGATGAGCTGGGCTCTAACGAGAAGGGACCAGGCTCATTAATCTGGAAGGCTGCCTCAGTTTGTGTCCTTGGGTTACAACAGATACCTCTCACTTCCTTGCCATTTTTTTCCTTCTTGGAAGTGAAAGCTGTTAAAGTAATGGAATGATTTAACAAGGAGGTTGTATGCATGTTATTAATTTGTTTTTTTTAAATTAAGTTAGGGTTTCCCTTAAAACATCTGCTTTAATTGGACTCTGGGCTGTGATGGTTATCGTGGGTGAATAGACTCCCATCCCTCGTGGCCCAGGGTCCAAACAGGTTTACCTGCATTGCCTTCAGCACAGACAACATCAGCTCTGCTCAGAAACCACAACTGTGATCAGATCTCATGTTCAAGGATTCAGCCAGTTTGTTGCATGGGTCAGAGAAGCCTTTTCCCTGATGCACCATTGCTCAGATGTGTTCTGACAGCACTCAGAAGGCCTCTCATCAGATACCAGACTCACGTTGTACTCGGCCTGAGACTCATCTCTGCATTTGAAATTAAGATCTTTCCAAAATAAAAGAGAATTCCTTGATTTCCTTTTTTTGTTCTCCTGCGATGTGCTAGGTTGGGAGCTCTGTCTGGCTGCTCAGTTCCTGCAGGGTTCTGGCACGTTGAGTTTCATGTGTCACTGACAGAAATTGGAGTTTCTTCTGGAGGCTGAGCTCTGAGCAGCCGAGGGACCTGTTTGATGTCCTGTTGGGCATTTATTGTTTCAACCTGATGTACCATTCCTACTCGATTTTATGCTTTCTGATGTTTGAAGCTCCATAATTGCTCATATATATTATTTACTACTTCACCTCCCATCAGTTGTCTTTCTGTGTTGCTTGTAAGATGATTCAGTTTGGATCTAATGAGAGATAAAGTTATTTTGCTTGACAGTTTTGGATATTACTGAGCCTTTGACTTGACATGTATGTACTTTTTTTTTTTTTAATTATGACACTCTTGAGTGTTTTTATTATTTAAAGTGGAAGTTGAAAGAACATTGCAATAATATAGAAGTAAAGACTGAGTAGTCAGGGAAAAAGCCTGACTGCTGTTCCCACTTTGTGTGTATGGACTGGGTGTTTTTAATAAAAAAAACAATAAAGATTTTTGTGGCAGGTTTGGAGTTTTTTCCCAAAAATAAACCAACTGCAGTTCTTCCAAAGAATAGGTAGGTGCTGTTGTTAGGAATGTGGAACTCCATGAAATACCAAGTAAAGCACTTCAAGGCGGTGATAAATTCGGTGTCCTGTTATGCTTGGAAAGGAAACTATTTTCATAGGAAGAACTGCAAGCAGTGGGGTTTTCCCCAAGTTTCCACAGTGGGTCTCCTTGCTATCCTGGGAATCCCACATCCCCCAGGAGAGCAAGGGCTGGTGTTTCCCGTTTTCCCAGCACCCAGAACTCCTGGCTGTAGGGTTTACAGGCTCACAGAGTGGCTAAGCAGGGAAGAAGGCAGAGCTCCTTGTTTTGGAGTCTGTGTTTGAAATATAAGGTCATGTTGCCTCCTGTGTTGTAATTAATGGGTTCTTTTCCAGATCCTTGCTGGGCATCCATAAACAGGGGGATTCTGATCTGTGACGAGTGCTGCAGTGTCCACCGGAGCCTGGGCCGCCACATCTCCCAAGTGAGGCACCTCAAACACACGCCGTGGCCTCCAACACTGCTGCAGGTAGGAAGGAAAGCTGTCTTCCTTGGTTAAAACTGGATGTATTAAATTTTTTTATATCATTAAACTGTTGTTTGAGAGGGGCTGGTCCTCTTAATCTTTCATTTTCTAAGTTAGTCTCCTCTCGTTTCTCTTGTTTTCTATGATGGACCACTAATACCAGACCGCTGAAATCAGAATTGTCTCTGCCTTTTTAATTTGATACCTTTGCTTTGGAAGGTCACCTCAATTTTCTTTCACACTTCTGCAACAGATCTGCATCAGCCTAAATTTTCAATGTATAGCAAGATTTTCTTTTCAGTAGAACTGCTGTTGGGAAGAGAAGGGAATTTTAAGGAGCTTCTTACTACATTCCACATCATAACCTCCTCAGCACGTGCCCAGTTCTGATATCCCAGTAGGTTCTGGATGCTGGCACACAGAATGGGAATCTGTTGGCTTGATGTCTGCTTGGAAATAATTACAGATATTTGATTAGTGCAGCCAGCAGCACAGTGTCAATGCCTGTGTGTGTATCCTGGGTTTCAGATGGTTGAAACGCTGTACAACAATGGTGCTAATTCCATCTGGGAACACTCTCTGCTGGACCCTGCCTCTGTCATGAGTGGACGGCGCAAGGCCAGCCCGCAGGACAAAGTGCAGTAAGTGGGAAATGGCAGAATTGTTATTTTATAGAACTGTAATTATTTTATTCAGCAGTGACAGAGCAGCAAGGAATCCATGGGAACCTGTGTGTGTTTTGTTGCTGGAGGAGAACAAGACTAAATTAGTTATTGGTGCACCCATTATTATTTTTTCTTTACTTTTCAAGGATTAATTTTTAAAAATTTATTGCAAAAATTCATTGCTTGAATTCCCTGAACTGTTGTCTCCTGACTTCTCACTTTAAATAGTGAATAGTCTTTGAATCAAAAGACTTTTAATTCTCATGCCACGTGCTTCAGTTATCTGAATGCTGCCAAAAAAACTGAGTTTGGCTGATGAATTAAGCAAAAATTGGGAGATTTCTGTCACTGATTATGGTGCTTCATTTTAAAATGTAAATAACAGCATATAGTAAATATAGATCTATAGTTGGCATAATTTCTTTTAAGAAATACACACCACATGCTGTGGTCTGCAGATACTTTGATATTAGTAACAGAAGTTTGCTCTGCATAGTCAGACAATCAGCACTGGGTTGTTTTTTAATGAAAATATTTTTCCACGTCTGACTTTGCCACTGGCAAAGATCTGATTCCATCGTCGCTTGTGAATTTTCCTTTTTTTTCTAGAGCATCTATATCACTGTGAAAGCACTAATATTTCTTTCCTTTCCTTTCTGTTGCCTGGATTTCTGTTTGCAGTCCCAACAAAGCCGAGTTCATTAGAGCTAAGTATCAGATGTTAGCGTTTGTGCATCGCCTGCCGTGCCGGGAGGACGACAGTGTCACTGCCAAAGACCTCAGCAAGGTGAGGGGGCACCTGCAGGGACAGCACAGCAAACCTGACTCACTTCAGTTAGCTGCTTTTGATTCAACTACTGCAGTTTTTCTGCACTGTTACATAAATAAACAGAGTTTAGCTTCACCCTGAAGCCACTTTTTTTTGGTAATACGTATGGATACTGGAAGTGATGGTTGAGAGGCATTAATTTAGGTTAATTGGAGAAGAACTCTTGCACACCACTTTCTGAAAGGATTGCTGAAAAGCAAATGGTGATTCACAGTTGTTGCTGTTGTATTAAATATAATCCTGCTTCTTTTCCAGCAACTCCATTCCAGTGTGAGGACAGGGAACCTGGAGACCTGTTTGCGACTGCTTTCCTTAGGAGCTCAAGCCAACTTCTTTCATCCTGTAGGAACACTTTTTTCATTGTTTTGTTAAACAATCAATTATAGCTCAGTCTTCTGCTCAGGCCTGTTGATTAAGTAGATATTTTCCTTCATCCCTTGTAGGAGAAAGGAAACACCCCTCTCCATGTTGCTGCTAAGGCGGGACAGACTCTACAGGCAGAACTGTTAACGGTTTATGGTGCTGATCCTGGCACACAAGATTCCAACGGGAAAACTCCAGTTGACTATGCAAGGTAGAAGCTCTGACATACACTACCTGATGTTCATAAATCATGTGAGGAACCTGCTTAGATACATTTCTGTCCTGAAAATAATCTGAATGTTAAATGCTAATTATACTTTTTCTAGAAAGAGTGGATGAATAAAGAGTATAAATAGGCATTTTCATCATTTCATAGCTCGTGTTCTGGGTGCTTGAGACAGTTGTGATCCCAATGACACAGGCTGTGCTGTGCCAGGCTAGCAGCTCTCAGAAAAGGGATCTGAGGAAAAGAGTGTCTGCAAGCTCAGCCAGCTGAGTAGGCTCCAGGGGTGTGGAGTAACTCGGGAATTGCTGTGGGAAAGGGCTGAACTGCACAGATGGGTTGGGGCGCACAGGGTGGAACCAGGTTGTGGGTCTGTGCTGGGTTGTTCTAAATCAATTTCTGTGACCCTTTTTAATTCTGTGTGTCTCGATGACTGACTGATGTCCCCTCTGTGTGTGACCCAGACAAGGGGGGCACCACGAGCTGGCAGAGCGGCTGGTGGAGATCCAGTACGAGCTCACAGACAGGTTGGCTTTTTATCTCTGTGGCAGGAAACCAGGTAAGCACAAGAAACTGCACTCTGAGGTCTGTCTGTTTAGTTATAGGACAGTTCAGACTGTGGTATGTGATGTTTGTGTCAGTGTTAATGCACTTTTTATATCCATTTCAGATATTCCAGTATTTATATTCTGTATAAATTATACAGGGAGAACCAAAGAAAGTATAAGATGCAAGATTAGTGATGATGCATTTAAAATTCAGATAAAACTGTAGGGTTTTAAATATACCTAGATTAAAAATTAAGCTCCTTTCTCTTTTGCCACATATGCATGTTCTATATATAAACTGTAGAAACTCTTCCAAGTCATTTCTTGCAATTGAAATGCAAAAGCAGGGGAGTGTTAATTAAGTAGGTTCCTTCTGAACACAAGCACACTTACAAGTTTTTAGCCATTAGCTACCATAAAGTCACCTATTTTAGAACTTAATATTCTTTTTTAATATGATTTTAATACAGTTAATAAGCTTTAAATGGAATCTTTGATAATACCAGGAAATTGTGGTAGGAGTCTTCTTTTAAGACTTGCTAACTCTGTGTAATTGGAAATTGAGTAATTGCATGCAAAATAAATTATTCTGTGTTTGCCTTTTCCTTATATTTTTGAAAATTATAGACCAGTACCAACCTATTAAAATGCAATTTGTTTTCAACTCTAGAGCACAAAAACGGGCAGCACTTTGTTATACCTCAGATGGCAGACAGGTAAGTTGCTGATTCCATGGAATGTTTGAAAACATCAAAATAAAAAAAACCCTAATGATTACATTTAATTTTCTTTCTGAAACACCTTTTAAGCCTGTTGCCATTCCAACTTTTTATGTGTGCCTTTATTAATCTTGGAAGCTTTTTTTTCTAGAAAGAGTATTGTCATATAAACAAAATCAGAATATTATAGAAGTTTGCTGTGTTTGTTAAAATGGAGGGGGAAGGTGAGACAATTCTATTAAGGAAACACACATGAGAATTCCTAAGAAACAGATTGTGTAATAATTTAAGGAACAATTGAGGTGGTTTCCTGATTTTTTAAAATAATACTTACAAGAAAGCTGTGTTTTCCTCTGAAAATATTTATACTTTTGATCTCTGAGTGTTTTTAAGTTTTGGTTGTGAATCAATGAAATAATATTTGTACCAAACATATCAAGTATTAATTACAAGTCCCTGTTTCTCTTTTCTTGCTGTGCAATTGGAAATAAGACGGCTGTAAGTAAACTACTGTCCAACCTACTGCTTGCAAAATTTCTATGAAGAGCTTTAATAAAATTAAAATTGTATGGGTAAAAAATTGTGGGTATCCATATTCCAAAGGACTTTTGGGATTATTTTTATTTTTAAATTTAAGATTGTTGTGTTTGAAAGCTTTTGAATACGCTAATTGTGATATTGTATTAGTAACATCAGTGTGTTAAAAGTGATACTAAAAATACTAAAATATTAGGGGGTTTCAAATAGAAGTGACATTTTAATCCCTGAGTTATTGGAATGTATAATTTGTGTTTAAGCCATGACATGCTGTAGATGTAATGATCACATCTTGTTTTCATAGCAGTCTGGATGTATCAGAACTGGCAAAAGCAGCCAAGAAGAAGCTTCAGTCTGTAAGTAAAACTCCTTTTCTAGACATGGCAAACTCCTCACTTCATCTTTCAGGCTTCCTAACACAAGGATCTCTTGAATCACCCACTGCAGGAACAGCTGGAAACAAAAATATTTTGTGGGCCTTTGCTGTTCAGTTAATCCCAAATCTGCAGTGGTGTTTGGTACCTCATTCCCACAGTGGCTCTGCTTCACCCAAACACACGAGGTCTTTTTGTGGTCAGATAGGAGAGAAAAATCCATTAACCAGTAAAGAAGTGTAGAACAGAATTGTTGTCTTTGTACCCAGAAACTGGGTGATCATCCAAGTCTGCTCCATGGATTTACCTCACTGGGCAGGCTGAGAAAGGAGCATTTCTATAAATTATGTAGGCTGAAGAAAAGAGAGCAGAGTTGTGCTCTTACATTTTCTCTGTTACAGAGAACTTATTGGGTTTAATTTATTTTCAAGCTGTAATTATTCTCTTCCACCCTCAGCTAAGCAACCACTTATTTGAAGAACTTGCCATGGATGTGTATGATGAAGTTGACAGGAGGGAAACAGATGCAGGTGAGTGAGGCTTTCTGGAATGAAATAAGATAAATCCGAATTGTTACATTACAAAAAAGATGCTAATCCAGCCACATGTTCTGTTGAAATGCTTCTGTATTCAGTAATTACTGCTGATGGGAGTTTCTTTGTCTTGCATTGTGTGAAGGGGATGTTAATTCAAAAAATGCTGTGTTTTTCACAGAGTAGGGAACCCTCTGGGGAAAAAGCCTTCCTTTGAATTGATTGTGTTTGTGTTTGAAATTGTCTTTTATTCTTTGACAAGAAACACTGTCGAATAGTACAGGAAGGTTATTCCCTGTTTTTGTTTTTTTCCCTCTGGAGCAGTTTGGCTTGCAACTCAGAATCACAGCACACTTGTGACAGAGACCACGGTGGTCCCTTTTCTTCCCGTAAATCCTGAATATTCCTCAACCAGGAATCAGGTATGAAATCTTCTTAATGCTGAAAAATAGTCTAATAGGCCAGGTAATTTAATAGGCCTAAGGAATCTTGCTTTACTATATTTCATTACTGTAGAAGAGTTACATCTACTTGGAAAGAGGTTAAAATAATTTACATTTCCCTTTTAAGTCACACTTTTTGCAATAAATGTAATTGAATAGTCGACTCACTCTGAGTGTATAGTCTTAGTTTTTCTGGGAACTCTGCTGTTCATCTAACACAGGATGTACTTTTATTTTCCCTGCATTATTCTGTAATTTAGGGAAGACAGAAACTGGCTCGATTTAATGCCCATGAGTTTGCTACACTGGTCATAGATATTTTAAGTGATGCCAAACGAAGACAACAGGGGAATCCTCTCACTGGTTCCAAAGGTGAGTGAGCTTCTGTTGTCAGCTCCTCTGAAGGCAGTTCCTCAGTAGTTCAGTCATTCCCAGAACCCTTTCAGCAGTGCTGTGTCAATGGAGAGAGAGAGGGATTGTTTTTATAAATGGAAACTAACTCGTGGATATCAGGCTACTGACAACAGGCAGTAGGCCACCAAAATAATGCCCAAATACGGAAGATTAGTCTGTTAAACTTGGTATTTGTAACAAGAATCAAGGGGGATATGTGCAATTTGGGAACATTCTTTTGGGATGGTTGTGATTTTTATAATAATCTGATAATATTTTCTGGAATACTCCTGAACAGTGCAAGAGTGACACTTGTCTCGACTGGCATCTGGGATAATGGCAGGGGTTTAGATGTTGGAATTTCTGGCTGCTCCCTACATGCAGGACGTGGCTGTAATTTAGATCTTATTGCTAATTCACCTAACAAAAATGTTTATTTTCTGTATTTCTTGAGCATGACAGATAGCAAAGATCACAAATAGTTGTGTTAACAACAAGGCAGAGCCACAGTTCTAGCCATGATGGTATGAAATAACATTGGAGCACTAGTTCTCCCTCTGGAGAGAAAACACAAAAAAAATCTTTTCTAACTTTCAATTTTTCCCTGTATTTTTCATTTGAATGCTGGCATCCATTTGTCCAGGGTAGTCTGTTGGGTTTTTTTAATATGTGTGAATTTCATTGAGCTGTTAAAGCGTGATTCTCATCACTTATTTTAACTTGACTAAACACTTGTAAGAAATGAAAAGGCAAAACCATCAAACTAGTTTTGGACAATGGTAATTCATACCTGCTAGGTGGATCTAAAATTAATGTTTTAAAAGTGTGCACTTCCATTTCTTCTCCAAACTCCCTTGTATGTTTTTTAATGTGTTGATCTGCAGAAAATGTGGAACTGATACTCAAATCAATCAGCAATCAGCACAGCAGTGAGAGTCAGGATAACGACCAGCCTGATTATGACAGTGTTGCTTCAGATGAGGACACAGATCTGGAAACAAATGCAGCTAAATCAAACAGACAGAAGGTAGGCTTGAAATAGTGATACACACCCTGAATGTTATTCATAAAGGGAATCCTTCCCCTTGTGAAGGGATTTAACTTGCATAAATGATCAGAAAATGGATTTTAAAATTAATTTTCAAATTAATTTTGTAATCATGCCTCACTCTATGAATTTTCTAATAAGATTAGGTGTTGTGACTTGAGGAATTTTTACTGTAAAAAAAAATGCTTCTCTAGAAAAGTAATGTGTATATCTGGAGATAAGATAGAGACCTAATTGCACAGATGAAATAATTGCATGTACCAAAACATCCTCAATCAGTGATTCCATGATATTTCATGAAGGTACTGCTTCCTACTGAAGAAATATTTACAGCAGACCAACATGAACAAGTGGTTTAAACCATTCCTGAAAATAATGCAGAGTGGTTGAAACAGGGGCAGTAGGTCTGTTAATTCTACTTTATTTTCCCCTGATGATATGCACACTGGATGTTTAGCAATCTATCTTTTATGACTTTCCAGTTCTTTATTGCATATTTTAAAAAAACCTTATGAAAACAGTATTTTGTCACTGAAATGCTGAGACAAATGTTTTTAGAGGAGCTAAGAGTTGATTGACAGCAGATTTCTTTTATAGTGGACTAAAATGATGCTAATTAATGGATCTTATTAATTTAACTTAAATTGAACTGTGATTCTTTTGAAGTAAATACATGAAAAGCTGTAGAAATGTCATTGTTTTGTTTCCTTCTTTCTCAATGGTTTACATATTTTTCTGTTCCTGTTCCTAGAGCCTGGATTCAGACTTGTCAGATGGACCAGTGACAGCCCAGGAATATATGCAAGTTAAAAATGCTTTGGTGGCTTCTGAGGTGAAGATTCAGCAGTTAATGAAAGTGAACATCAACCTGAGTGATGAGCTGAGGATCATGCAGAAAAAGGTAACAGGCACAACTCTGTAACCCCTCAGCTCTTGGGGTGTCTGAAGTTATTAGAATAAAACTGCTGGAGCTGAGGATGCAATAACCCAATATTGGGATAGTGAGAAAACTCATTTTAAAGAGCTGCTCTGGGGTCAGATATGACACTATAAATATTTATGTGCAACACATGCTTTGAATGTTGTTTTTTCTGGAGCTGATGCTGATCTGACCCAACAAATCATGATGATGATTTGACTTATGTCAAAACTTTGACATAAGTTTTCCAAGTAACAAGACAGTTTTTGCAAGTCTTGTGTGTTTTTGTTGTCTTTAAACAACGAGGAAGTAAGTGCCATCTATATAATGTACTTCCAACTTCCCCAGTAAATATGTTGGCGGGTTTTTCCTGTTATTAAGCCTACCTGGAATGAAGAGAAATTAAAATCCAACCTAGTTTGGCTGTACTGAATGGTCTGCAATGTGACAATACAGTATAAAGTTCTTGTATACCATGAGGCCAAGATTTATTTGTTTGCCTGTGTTTGAATCCATGGGAAATAGCACCTATAGGACATAGTGATAAACTCAATTCCCACCTTAAACCTGCACTGTGGGTTTGTCTGGACAAAGGTAAAGCAGAGGTGTCTCATTTACAGCACAGGTTACTATGTGTAGATGGTCTGATACAAAGAGAAAACTGAGCATTTATGCTAAAATCCTGAATTAAAAGCTCAAAAATCTGAGTTTGGAAGCCAGGCCTCTAATTCCTTATATAAACAAATCAAGAATTTGTTGCGTGCTTTGCAAATAGAGGCTTTTGTGGGGTTAAGGAGAATTTATATCTGTACTGAGTTCAGTCTGCTGCCTGCCATGGTAGCTAGAAAGGACTGGCTGCTTCCTCAGATTAATCCCTTTAATTAGTGTTTAAAATCCTATTTTCCAAATAATTAAAATCCTGCAAGAGTGACATGTAGAGAAAGTTTTTCAGGCTGTACTTGTGCAGGTGAACCTGCTGTTCTGGGCAGAGGTTGATGCTTTGGAGGGTGGTGAGACTGTTCAGCTCTTTGTACCTGAGGCCAAGCTAATTCAGCAGGTTGGAATATCCTTGTTTGTTAAGGGCCAGCGTTCTCTTCTGTTGTGTTCAGATCTGCTGGGATGGTGAATACTGGGGGATCTCATGGTGTTTCCTTGGTCTTTTAACAGCTTGTACTGGTTGAGCATTTCTCTTGCATCAACTGAATTAACTTTCCACTTATACTGAGTTTCTTTAAACAGATATAGTGTATTTAGGGTAAAAAAAAAGTCTTCAGAGCCTGTAAATTAATGAGGCTTTAGTATATTTATGTGGTGTAGAAGGAGGGAAATCATTGCTGTGCTGCAGTGTTCTTTACTGAATCTTTTCTTTCTGATGTGTTAATATAGCAAACTTACTCCAAGTAACTCCACCAAATAAAACAGAATTGGTGCATTTTTACTATCAGTCAAGTAATAATCAAAAGCTTTAAAATGCTTTCTTCCTGGCTTCTTAGAAAGCAGTAGCTGATGCTTAATTTTCATAAGCTAAATTTTCTCCTTGCTTTGCAAAGCAAGCTCGAGTTCCTTTGTGCTGCCTCTGGTGTCTGTGCTGCAGTTCTGGCATTGTCACATTTCATGGGCCTTATGTTAAAGTCTGCTAAATTCTTGTATTGGCTGCTGAAATGGATCACTTTGCTTGGAAAACTGTTGTATTGTCAATCCTTTCCCTCACAACCTCATTATATCCCACAATTCCTGTGCCAGTACGGAAAGAATGGATCATGTGTTTTGAACTACAGCACCCAGAGTTAAGATCTAAATTAGCTTGCAGTGCTGGAAATCAGCACCTAAATATTTCCACATCTGGAACACAGACGTTTCTGTGCTTATACCAAGCAAGTCAAGTAGATTTTGAAAAAGAAATGAACCCCCAGCCACCAGTAACTGGATTTGGTATTAAAGCTGACAAGCGTGTATTGCATGGGCAGTTTGCTCTTGGCACTTGCTGTTAGGAAACAAACACTGCTAAACATTTCTTTCAGCTTCAAACGCTACAGAGTGAAAATACCAACCTCAGAAGACAGGCCACAACCAATATCTATCAGGTCCAAAGTGGTTCTGAGTACCCAGACCCCACCACCAATTCCTCCTTAAAGCGGCGCCCGTCGGCCCGGGGCAGCAGGCCCATGTCCATGTACGAGACTGGCTCGGGGCAGAAGCCCTACCTGCCCATGGGGGAGGTCACCTACCCAGAGGAAAACAGCCCAAGGCTGCAGCCCTTCCCTCCACACGTGAGTAAAACTGCTGCTGCTTCTGCATTTCTTCTCATGTTCAGCTTTCCTGGCTCTTCCAGCTCTGCTCGTTCACCGACGCTGCTCAGCTCTACCTCAGAGAGGAAAAAACCAGAGGGAATAAGAACTGTGAGAATTGTTCATGTTTGCTGTATTAACATGTCTGCAGGAGCCTGATGGTTTGAAAAGTAGAAGCTATAGCAGTTCTGGAACATGTAAACTGGAGCTTTTGGCTTCTGCTCAGCTGTTTTTTTTAACCACAGTATATATGCCAAATATCAAAATGCGACTGTTTGAAAATGAGGAAGGAAGGAAAGTAGTATTCAAAGAAGGCAGGTAAAATTCATGGATTTGTTCAGATATACAGACAGGTGCCAATTTGTGGAACTTCAGAACCACCTTGAAAAAGTAAAATTTAAGCTGAGTTTTCCTCAGACCACCAGTTTCTTTCTCTGAGTTTGCAGCTGGAGGCTGGAGATGGTTTAGATCTGTCAGTCAGATTCTTCTGGTTTAGTATTTTCCTGTGTGATGTGCAAATAGTGGAGAGGGAGTTCCCTGTTACTAAAAAAATTTTGTACTGAGGTGTTCACACTTTGCATAAGTGACCCAGCACACACCAGTGCATTTAATTAATGACTGCATTGAATTAACTACTACAGTTAATTTTTTGTTGTTATCCTTTTAGGTTTCCCCATGGGCAGAAACCCCGGACAGTATTTTTTTGACACATATTTAAAATTTGTGGATTTGTTACAGCATCTTTCCCTGCTGTTAGCACTGTCTTGTATTTCTTTCCAGTTGAATGATTAAGACCTTTAAAACATATTTTGAAGTTATGGCATGAGGGAGGGCAAATGTTCCATGCACATTCCAAAAAGACAATTGAATGCACCAGGGAATCAGTGCAGAAATTTGTCTGCTGGGTTTTTCCCCGCCTCCAGTTAATTAATTTAAACTATGACATTTAGATCATTTTGAATTATATTGGCATGTTGATACAAAGGCAGTTCTGGCAGCAAGAAATGTCAAAATTCATTCGTGTGTGATAGTGTTTGCAAAACATGACAGTGCCCTGTATAGGTCCTTTGGTCACTTGGTTTGAACATTGATTTGTTATGTGGAGTTAGTTAATTTGGCATTGTGGTGAATATATTTTGTTCTCTGTGGAATTTGGCACCTCTAGAGTGTCAATATTAGGGTGACATCAATTGTATTTTGAAAGAATTAAGTCCACTCAGGCTGAGCCGAACTCTCAAAATCATTCTTGCTTTGTCATCTCCATGGTTTTAAGAATGTTCCTTTATTTAAGTTAAGAGTTTATTTGTGTTTTGTTTGTGGTTTTTCCCGAGTGTTTTTCTCTTTCCCATTTTTAGATCGGGAGGAGTGCGTTTGTGACCTCCTCTTCATCTCTACCTTCCTTCCCCTCCACGCTTTCCTGGTCAAGGGATGAGAGCACACGAAGGGTTAAGTACCTTCCCACCTTTCCCCTGGAGGAGGTGACATCTCCCCAGAGCCAGATGCCTCTCTCTTCCCCCTCTCTCGCTGCCTGGCCTTCTGCATGGAGCAGAACTCATCCCTTCATTCCTTCTGCCACACACTGTGGGCACTTGCCTCTCTCTAACTTCACAATCTCTGGCGTTTAACACCACACACAGTTCTCAGATCACTTGTTCAGCTGCACAACACCAGAAGACAAGTTGGTTGCTGCTTGGACAGTGATTTTCCAGGCGCTCGCTGATATTTCTAAGCCGATGTACAACTCTCCCTGCTGACTAAAAGCACTGCATGAGGCCTGGCTTCAAAGCTGCTTTTCCTGGGGGCTGCACTTTGCACCAATCCAGATGGGCCTGACTGACTGTTTGTCTTATGGATAACAAGTTTGGGGGTTTAGATGTTGAATGGCCATACTCTGACCTCTCCCTGCCAGGACACAGAACCTCCTTTTTAATTTCTTCTTCTCCCCATTTTATTTTGGCTGTACAGTGTTTGAACATATCAGTGCAGAAAATATTAGATTTGCAAGTAGGGATGGATGATAAAAATTTCAATCAAATATCCTGCTTGGTCAAAAGGAAATCTGGATTTGGCTCCAGATGATAGCAGTGCTGTGTGGCACTAGAAGCTTACAGAGGGTTTGTTTGTTTTTATTCTATGCTGATTCTATATTAGTGATTCCATAGTATCCTATTCTTTGTGATTCATTGTTGTGGTTTGTTTTTCTGAGCATATAGTAGAGCTTTGCACTATTTGTATTGATGTCTCTACATCTGGGAGAGGGGAAAGGTTAGACCCTACATGTGATAGTTTCTTATCTTCAAAACGTGTCACTTTTACAGTTGAGCTTTACCAACTGTTCTCTAAGGAGTGTTCAAAAAATGCTGGGTTTTTTCCTTCTGTACAGAGTAACTTTAAAGGGTCCATACTCCAGGTACTTCAGTGAGAATTGCTGGGTTTAACATTGGATGAGTGTTTAACAAACCTACTGGATCTCAACCAATGAAAACCAGTTCCTGGTCATATTTTTGCTCTGTTCTTGAGGTAGAAGTATTATTTTGTAAGCAGATTCCTAAGTGTATGGATCAGGGATGCAGGTTGGAGGTGTCCCTTGCAGTCTAACACTTGAGATTCCCTCCTCATGACTTCAGGGTTTCTGGAGAGCCCCAAGGCTGGTTGTTCAGCAGGGTCTGTGGAGGACCCTGAGCTGCTGATCTCTGTGCAGAGTGACACTGGTGTGACATGTTTGCAAATGGACAAGCTGTAGTGGGAACTTCTGATGGGCTGTGCAGTTTTTAAAAGACTACAGTAGGTGGATGTGTGATGATCCTGGGGCCTGGCTGCAGATTTGGCCTCCAAGCTCATTTTGGTATTCCATTCTTCATTCCACCTTCTCTCTGGGATCAGCCTCCCACTTTGCAATGGGCCTACAGTGTCCAGTCTCTGCTTCCCTGCATCCCTCCTTCCCTCGTTTCAGCTTCTACTTTGGAATTTGCCCTGCTCCCCTTTTGACACTGTTCTTCCATGGCCATCTGTTCCTGATGGTTGGGCCTCCCACCCTTGTTGCATCCTGTGCTCTGCTCTGGGCCACATCTCTCGCTTATTTGGCCTCCCAGCCTTGTATCAGTATCAAGCCTTCAGTGGCCTCAACTCCTCACATTTTGGCTCCCCACACCGTTTTGGGCTTTAGTCTGCAATGGGCCTTATCTGTTCTTGTGTCAGCCTCCAAACTGTAATGGGTTCCAAGTCTCCTCCATTCTGTGCCCTTTGATTTTCCACCCACAGTTTGTCTTCCAGCCATCATCTGTCTCCTGTCTTTATTTTGACTTTCCCATTGCCACATCTTAACCCTCATTTTGGTCTTCCATTTTGCAGTGGGCTTCCCAGGGACAGCCTCTGCTCTGGTGTCAGACCCCGGTGCTTGATTTGACCTCTCTTCTGTCATGGCCTCCTTCACTTGGTTCAGCCTCACGCCCTGTGTGGGGCTTCAGTTCTTGTTTCACCCTCCCACGCCAGGTTTGATTTCCACTCTGTGTTCAGCCTCCCACGTGGGCTCTGCTCTGCCGTGGGCCTCCTGCTCTTGGTCTGGCCTCTTTCTCCCTGGGGTTCTGCCCCTCTCCAGTGGGCTCATGCTCACTGTTCAGGCTCCTGTTTCATAGTCCTGCCCTCTCCATTCGGCCTCTCCTCCTGATGGGATTCTCCCTGTGTGCCCTCAGGGCAATTTCAGTGGCAGGGGAAGGAGCTGTGTCTGTCTGTCTGTCCTGCCTCGCTGGGTGCCTGGCGCTCAGGCTGGTGGGGCTGTGCTGTGCTGGAAGTGCCCAGGGCCTCAGGTACAAGCTGCAGCAGGAGCCTGGCATGGGGTGAGGGGGCACAGCAGGCTCTGGGGACGGCAGCTGGTGCAGGAGCTGTTGTGCTCAGAGCAAGCCCACATACATGGGAACAGCACTGGGCACAGCCCAGGGCTGCTCTTCCCTGCACAGGCTGAAATCAGTCTGTGTTCCTTGCAGGCCTCAAAGCTGGAGAAGCAGAGCAGCGTGTCCGAGAGTGACTACGACAACCCCACCACCCCTGTGGAGCTGGAGGAGCCAGGGTAGGTGCTGTGACACTGGGCTGACACCCAGCTCCATGTGTGCCCCCAGCCAGGCTCCCCAGGCTGACCCCTGCCTCCTTCCCCTGCAGGTCGGGCAGGAAGGGCCGGCAGAGGAGCATTGTCTGGCAGGGGGAGGGATCCATCCCTGAGGACACAGACCCAGCCCCCAGCTCCAGTTTGCCCAGTACAGAAGATGTGATTCGGAAGACTGAGCAGATCACCAAGAACATTCAGGAGCTGCTACGAGCGGCACAGGAGAACAAGCATGACAGGTAAGGGGTGAGTGCTGGAAGAGCTCTGCAGTTGGTGAGAAACAAGGAAAATTCTTCTGGTGTTTTCACCTGTAGTACACAGGAAGGTGAAAAGTACAGCCGCTCCATTTCACACCTATAAAATGTGTAGGTCTGGTGTTTCCTGGTGTCCTAGTCCCTGCACCACAGGGTGAGTGGAAACCAGTGACAGCCCCCTTGTGAGTGGATTCTGGCTGCAGTTCTGGTTGTCCTGCCCTGCCCTGGCTGCTGCCCTTAACTTGTGCAGTTCTGCTGCAAAACAAGTGTTGGTTTAGATAAAAATCAAATGTGTTACAAAGAACTTGCTGCAAGTTTCTCTGGGATCTTCACACTTCCGTGTCCGTAGGTAAGGACACCTCACACAAATTTGATAGTTACACCAGGGCTTGTTTTAGGAGAAAATTACAAAGGAGGGAGAAATTGCCTTTCTTCTGAGGTGTTAGTACAGATAATGTACCAACAAAAAGTATTTTGAACTGTTGGGTTTAGGCACAGCTGAGTAAGCGGGGCACTGACTCAGCACGTCAGCTTGCAGCAGCTTCAGCTCCCTCAGGGAACTTCTGGTCCACCTGAACAATTAATATCCAGCATAGATATGAGTGAGTAAAAGTGATACTGCCCTTGCTGATCATCAGGTGGTGCTCCCACATAGCTCTTCTAGAAGGCTGTAAATAAGAATTACATATTCCCAGGTGTTAATGCATTTTAGGGCTGGAACACTTTGGTCTCCAGGAAGTCAGACCCTGCAGGCGGGCGGGTCCTGCTCTGCTCCAGCCCCTGTGCCCTCTGTGAGGAGCAGCAGCGGTTTGGATTGAGCCCTCACTTCCTGCCTCGCTCAGAGAAGTGCACAACAATGGGGCCACTTTGGTTCTGTGTTTTTTCCTCCTTGTACTTTTCTATTTTTAGAAGGGCCAGGGTGGCCTCTCCCCCTGACGCTGAATGGTGAGTTCTAATGTGCTTGTGCTGAGCTCAGTGCCCTTGGCCAGAACCTTTTCCACTGCAATCCCTTATTACTTGTTTCTCACAGAGAAGCAACAGTAAGAGAAGCTTTAAACGAGTTTAGTTTATGTGTATATCACAGTTTACAGTATTTGAATTTTTAAAAAATCATTGAAAGAAACAGTAGAACACACCTGGCTTTCACTGTTAAACTGATCAGATGTTTAAACAACCTGTTACGTTTATTTTTGTTTTCTTGTACCACGTGTGGAGTGGGGTGTTTGCCTGTACTTAGATGAGTGTCATCTTGCAAAACACTGAACTATGAAGCTGCTGATCTTTATTTTACTATTCCCTGGCGTCCTTAACACAGGGGAATGCTTCCTTACCAAAATGAGTTACTGGGGATGTAATAATACATCCTCCAAGCTGGTGGTGGGAACACTGTAGGGAAAAATCATGTGCTGTGTAGATAATTGGAGAGTAAAAAAATGATGCAAGAATATCATCTACTAATGAAACACGTTCTTCCTTTCTTTCCTCGCTCTCTCCCACCCCTTTTCCCATGCTCTGAGCAGACCCTTGGAGCGTGCGGGCACACTCCAGCTCAGACACAGCCTCGGCTGCTCCGGCACACGGCTCCCCTGGGCTGAGAGAGCTCCCCTGCAGCCTCTGACCATGCAGCAGCCCAGCCCTGCCTCTTGGTACTCTGGCCTCTGTCCCTGCCTCCCAGGCACAGTGTCCTTTCTCTTTCTCTCTGCTGCCTCTTTCTCTCCCACTCCGTCTGCACAGGGGTCATGGAGGGCGATGCATGAAATGCTCTGGGTGATCAGGGACCTGCAGACCTGGGACAGCACCTGCAGTGGCAGCTCCCAGTGTTGATTTGGTGGGGAACAGAATCACAGCCTGAACTGGAGCTGGCTCTGGTATAAATGATTCTCCTGTCTCTGTTCTGTTTGTTGTCCTTTGAGGTAAATTAAATTACAACAACTTGGCTGGAACTGGATGATCATAGAACTATAGAATCACAGAATGCTTGGGGTTGGGAGGGACCTAGAGACCATCACATTCCAGCCCCTGCCATGGGCAAGGACACCTTCCACTATCCCAGGTTTCTCCAAGCCCCCTCCAACCTGGCCTTGGACACTTCCAGGGATGGGGCAGCCACAGCTTCTCTGGGCAACCTGTGCCAGTCCCTCACCACTGTCACAGGGAACAATTTCTTCCTTTAGGAATAAATCTTTGAGGTTTTATGTTCCCTTCCAACCCAAACGGTTCTGTGATTTTATGAACTAACAGCACAACATGTGGTTGCTGCTTCTGTGCACCTTTGCAAAAGAAGCAGGAGTTTCACATCCCCACTGTGGAACGTTCACACCTGATAGCTGAGTGTTTGTGCAGCTGGGGGTCAGATGAGATCATTTGTATCTCAAATCAGTGAAAAAATGTGTTTATATAGGATCTTCCAACCCGACCAAAATACTGTTTATAAGTGCCTCAAATATAAGTGAAGTTTAAGTGAGACACTCTTTAGAAGAACTTCTCAGGTTCAAACCCCAGCTGACAAATGTCAGGATTAGATGAGGAGATGAACACAAGTTACTGGTAATGATGGATTCTTTTTCCAAGCTGTCACTACTTGAATATCTTCCTGATGTCTCACTGCAATGTGTGTAAACCCAACACACGTGTCAGAGTATTTCATGAGCTCACAGTGAGTGTTTAGGTGATAAACTAAAGCCATTTCTCCAGGACACTGCAGCTGACCTAGAGAACATACTATAAAACACATCATTAACCTGGGTCTTTCATTCAGGTTACTCTGAGGGCTTTCTCTGCCTTGTTAGCAAAAGGTTTAATCAGCAAATTTCCCTTTCATGAGGTGGGGTGCTGGTCAATGTGGCTGGTCAGGGAGCAGATTAATCATTAACTCAGCAGCAGAATGGGAATGATGGTGAACTTGAAAGACCTCTCTCCACTTTTAGTTTGGAAGAACTCATGTGATTTCAGACACATGGAAATACTCCTTTTACAGCAATTTTCCTGCATTGCCGAAATGACCCCAGTGTGTTGCTTCTCTCTCAGTGCATTTGCAAGTGACTGATTTTTGCACCTTTGGTGTTGCAAGATGACTGAATAAATAACAACTGGGGAGTGGGTTTTGGGGCTCTTTTTGCTTGAAAGGGCACTGACCTACCATAACCTACAAATGCTGAATAGTTTTCTTGAATGCTCTTACGTAGTGATTTTTGAGATTCTCATGTTTAAGACTGAATCATGTGAACTGTCTTATGCTAAAACTGAGTCTTTGAAGCATAAAAACGAGTCTTTTGAAATTAGACTTGTGACAGAGCACACTAACACTTCACTATTTACCATAAGTTTCACAGCAGTTTATGGTAAATAGTTTTAAGATCTATTTTGAACAGACCAAATTTCATTTGGTGTATAAATCAGAGGGAAAATCTGTGAGGACTAATGGAACCTGTCTTTGCTTTATGAGCTAAGTCACCAGAATTACAAAATATTTAGCCTTAAACTTACATGTGGTGAAAGCAGTTGGTAGTTTGGGGATGCATGTGTGTGCAAACTGCTGTGTGAGAATTGTGTGTTGTTTGTTTACTGTGTATTAGTTAATCTAAGAAGGCATCTTGGTGTTCTGAAATTGCCTTCATGTGATGTTTTACCTTTAGTTAAACTTCACCCAAAAAGTCAGGTTGGAATTCCATATGGGAAGTTGGGCACAGCCCATCTCAGTAGGGGTCTGGCCTTTCCATTTGGAAAATGAGAAAGGGAAAATACCTGCATGGTACTGCATTCCTGGCTTCACCTGGTCATGAACACAGGACTGGAAATAAACTTACTCAGGTCAAACATACAAAGTGATTTTTATTTTTTCTATCTACTTTTTTGTCAAGACTGCAAAAAAATTTGCCTTTTTTTTCCCCCAAAGCACCTCTGTATCACCAGATTTTGTTTAAATATTTGCAAGCTGCAGAATCTCACTGACTGCCTGACTGACATGATCGGTTTGGTTGGGCATGGTGTCCTGCACACAGCAGTAATCCACCAAACAGTGAGCTGAGCCACTCTCTGTACACTTTGGAGATGAATTCCAGTATCTAAACTGTTGGGCAGGGGGGTGGGTTTAAGAAATGTGAGTATGAATTAATGTGCAGTTAATGAACTGTTGCAGCAAGTCCAGAGGAGGCCATGAGGTGGGTAAGAGGACTGGAGCACCTTCCCTATGGAGACAGGCTGGGAGAGTTGGGGCTGTTCAGCCTGGAGAAGGGAGGGTTGTGTGGAGATCTCAGAGCACCTTCCAGTGTCTGAAGGGGCTCCAGGAGAACTGGAGAGGGACTGTTCGTCAGGAACTGCAGTGACAGGACAAGGGGGAATGGGTTCAGACTGACAGAGAGGAAATTTAGGTGAGATATACAGAGGAAATTCTTCCCTGTGAGGGTGGTGAGACCCTGGCACAGGGTGCCCAGAGAAGCTGTGGCTGCCCCATCCCTGGAAGTGTTCAAGGTCAGGTTGGACAGGGCTTGGAGCAATGTGATCTAGTGGAAGGTGTCCCTGCCCATGACAGGGGGTGGGACTGGATGGGCTTTCAGGTCCTTTCCAACCCAAACCAGTCTGTGATTCTGTAATATTCAGACACATTTCCATAATTACATACAAATGGAGACTTTCCTGACAACAGTTGGTATAACAGGTGTGAAGAGTTATTGCCTCAAACCCACTCTGAAGAACAATGAAAATTTAAGAAATAATTTTGCACTGTTGGTTAAGTTCTTGCTTTTTCTGAAGTTACATAGTTGTTTTTAGAGTAATAGCCACTGACTAGTGAACTGGAAGAGGAAGGAGAGTCTCTGCATAATGAATAACCCAGTGCATCTTTTTGCAGCTATATACCGTGCTCCGAGAGAATACATGTGGCAGTAACAGAAATGGCAGCTCTGTTCCCAAAAGTAAGTACCTGCCAGCATCAGAGTGGTTTTGGCCTCATTCCCCATGTGTAGATTTCCCTTCATAATAAAAACCAAAAGCCAGAGGAAGGGAGAAATTATGAGGTGTTTTACACGTTGCACCTCTGCATTTATTAACATGGCAACTGGGAAGGGCTAAAGTGTGAATCCAGGCCTCTAATTGTACTCTTGAACTTAAAATTCTTAAGAATAGTTCCTCCAAAACTGGAGGCTACTTGGGTCTAGCTTGAGGCATTGTGTGGTTATATGGGAATTTCACTAGACTCATCACCCCCTTTTCCATCTGAGTGCTGGTGCCTGGATTTCTTACTTGCAGGCATGTTGAGATCTGTTACCCATCCACCAGAGTGATCTGTTTGTTCACAGCATGTTTAGGGAGAGACATCTCCATGACTGAGTTCTTGTGAACTTACTTACCTTTCTAAACTTACCTTACTACCTAAACTTACCTACCTTTCTAAAACTGCCAGCAAAGATCTAAGGCTGTTGTGCCCATCTGCACTGATCGTCCTGGACACGCCGTCCCCTCCTGCCAGCCAGGACATGGGCTGGGAGCAGGAAACAGGCACCAGAAAATGTGTATGAGTAACTTCCTACGGGAGAGTGAAGCAGCATTCCCTGTGCACTGCCTGGCAGGGGCTTGAAATCTCCCTGAGATGAGAGAGGAGAAATCGCGTCTCCTGCCGCGCGGAGAGGCCTGTGCAGAAGGACAGGGCCTGGCAGCAGATGTCCCCCATCAAAGAGCCCTTGTGAGCACTCCCAGCTGCTGAAAGGGGTTTGTTGTTCTGCCTAGTTCAGCTTCTGCTTTCCCTCCCCAGAAGCCCAAGTCGGAGCTGGTGAGGACGTCCTTGCGCCTGCTGACCTCCAGTGCCTACCGGCTGCAGTCGGAGTGCAGGAAGGCCCTTCCCGTGGAGAGCAGCCCCAGCACGGACATCCAGCTGGTCACACAGCAGGTCATCCAGTGCGCCTACGACATCGCCAAGGCTGCCAAGCAGCTCGTCACCATCACAACCAAAGAGAACAACAACTGAGTCACTCGGGGCTTCTTAGGCTTGTTTTTTAAAAGGTTGGATTTCGACACCTAGGTGTGGGACTATTCGAATTTTTACGAGGAAAAACTTAAAGGGGCAAGAAACTTTTTTTTTTTTTTTTTTAAACTCAGTATTATTTTTGCATGTTTTCTAACAATCTTATGATTAATTTAACCCACTGCCTTATTTTGTGCCTGTGTTGCCAGTGTAGTTATGGATAATAGCATGTTGCAAATAGCTGTCGAGCCAATACCACGTCCCAGTGCTGTCTCGAGCTCTTGTAGATGTTTCCTTGGGGCCACGTTCTGCTTTCAGATCCTGCTTGTGGGACTCCTCTGGAACCACCTGCACGGATGGGAGGGCAGTGTCTGCCTCGCTCCGTCCATCCTGGAGCCTCACCTGCCAGGATCCCTCTGGATGAGGCTCCGAAGGCTCCGGGACCCTCACTGCCAACCAGCAGGAAGGAGGTTTGTCATCCTGGTAACGGGGTACAAGCCGAATATTCTCTCTTCCCATATCAACTGTTGTGCAATATGTTTTTAGTCTGCTAAACCAATAGTAGTTGTGGGCATCCAAGCTTGTTACGTGTAACTCTACAAGGTCTTTGTCACTTTATCTGTTTTGGAAGGAATTTGAAACTTAATAGTTATTTCTTTTAGTTGTCACTATGCCATTAATATATATGTTTGATGTTACTTTTAGGGCATTAGTGGTTAAAATATTATCCTTTGTTTCTGAGTTAGTAATTCTTTCTTAAGTTTCCTACAGAATTTTCCTGTCATCTTCAAGGCACCGTCTTGTTTGCAGCAGCCTTGCTCAGTAACTCCACATCCAATTTCACTTAAGGTTTCTGTGCTAATTAACAAAAAAAGGAAGTTAGAAGAGTGCCAGTGCAAAAGCAGCTGTGTCTGCCATGGTATATAACCTCTGTACCTCAACATATCCAAATGTGAAAATATTTCTTATATCTCCGAAGTTTTTTATGCAAATCCTTCAAAATTTGACAACTTACTGAGTAACCCCTGCCAGGCTGCCTGGCCCAAGGGTGGGTGGGTCCCCAGTGGCCACGTGTGCTCCAGGTTTCTTCATTCCTAACAGTTCACAAAAGTGTATCAGTCCATAATTTTAAAAAAGAGACATTTTGGGAATCTGAATTTCAGGTGGGAGAGGAAATCACTAATTTTTGCTCTGCCTGTGTCCCATTTGGAATTGTGTTGTTACTGCCCAGGAGCTGCAGCAGGGGTTGGTTCCTTTTTAAATTATGGTGTGTTTGCATGGATATCCAAACACAAGTGCCATAACACTGCTGGATTCCTGATGCTGTAACTGCCTTCCAGAGTCTGAGGGAGGAAGGAATGGAGAGAGGAGATGACAACTCAGTAAATTAATGTTCTTCACTGTGGGGTTTTATTTCCTTTCTGCCCTTCTGACTCCCAGAAGCATCTGTAGCCTGATGGGAACACAGGCAGGCTGAGATTAGAACTGCAAAAGACCTTTTTGAAACCTCCTTCAAAATCATGCTCCTGGCAATTAAATAGTGAGAATCTTCTAGGAACTTAAATTGGAATCACTGAAAGGCAGCAGCTGGTCTTTTTCAGTGTCTCAGGACACTTCTGTGTGCTGTTCTTTAACATATCTTACCTGCTTTCCAAAGCAGGGTGGCACTGAGTTATGGTGTTATTTATCTCTTATTTAAACCTGCCTTTGATCCAAACCCAAGGGACACTTTGGTAACTGCCAGCCCTTGCTCCAGCTATGCTGAAATCAGAGGGGTTCAAACCCAGCAGGGGGAACCCACGAGCAGCAAGTTCATTAACCCTCCCATCACACAGCACTGCAGTCACAAAGTTTATAGCACCTGAAACAACAAAGGTGGTTTTTTTTTCTTTTATTACTAGATCTCCTCTTGTTCCCCTGTAAACAAACTTGCTCTTCCTTTACAAAATGCTGCAGAGGAAAGGAAAAGCTTTTTTGCCTTTTTTAAATCCTTGTATTTATCAGTGTCATTCTGTCTGTACAATATTTTGACCTAATCTTTTGTTTACAGTATTACTATAAAATGCTAAAACCCTTTCGGTGTGTGAAATAATTTGGGCTTATTTGACTGCTGCTTCTGGAAAGATCTTGGAAAAGGTTTCTCTAGTTGAGTAAAGTGCTGGGGTGCCTTCCATCTTTGTCACAGCCCTTTATCAGCTCCTTGTGCTTTGACAGGACTGATTTCAAGGTGCAGTTGCCAATGATAACAGCAATCAAGTGCAATAATCAACTCAGTCTCCCCTCCTATTGTTTCAGTAGTTTGCTCATGAAAAGAAACAAATCCTTGTTCAGGTTTCATTCATTCTTTATTACAGAAGTGAAAAACAACATTTAATGAAGTCTTCAGCACCTTCTGGAGAGGAATTGGACAAATTAAGAACTGGTGCCACAGCACACATTATCTGACTGATGTGCAAAGTGCATAATGAATTATCTCCCAAAAGCCAGCTGGGCACTCAGGCAAATCCTGATTCACAGAGGTGGGAGCCTGACAGAGCACATCCTGGTTTGCAGCTCCCATTCCTTGTATTCTTTCATGGCTGAGATCCACAGGGCCCCGTTATTTGCTGTGTTGCCACAGCCCAGCTCTTACTAAAACATATCAGCACAACTCCAGTTCTCTGAGGGTGCTCACACCCCCACATTCTTGAAGGCAGTAGAAATTTGCTCTTGTTCAGCTGGGCCACAGCTAAATATTTTCACAAATCTACTGTAGCCTGTCCCAGAGCCACCATTGTTTCAGGAGTTCCTTGAGTCTTCAAAGTTCTCTTTCTGTAGTCTGGAGCTGCATTTAGTGCTCGTTCCTCAGGTCCATGGTGCCTTTGGGTAACTGTAGACCTAACAGGGTCAGAACAAAGACCAGAACTGGTTTATGGGCTTTAAAATTAATCCACACACACACTATTCAACATGCAAAGGAGGTAATCTGCTGGGTAGGAGGGGTTAGGTAGGGTTACTCAAATTCAGCTTTGTTTTTAGAGCCAGGCAAAGCAGGACAGACACCAAAGACATGGAGCAGTGGAGATGCGCTGTCCCAACTGCCTTAATGCAGCCCATAAAGTATTGTCGGCACTGAATAACATCTGAGGCACTAGCAGTGCATCTGCCTCAAACATTCTTTAAAAATTAGGGACTAAAGTATCAATATCAGCAAAAAAGAAAAGCAATTCCTAAGAGAAAACTACAGAGCTCTGTTAGAGGACAGGACAGCCCAGTGATCTGCTCTGGCACTGTGGGGATCAGACACAATGAGAATTGTGTTGCCTAATGCCATCACCCTCCGTGATGGGCTCGTGTGTCAGGGTGGCCTGTGTGTTGGGGTGACCCCTGTGCCAGGGGGACCCCTGTGTTGTCGGGGTGACCCCTGGGTGACCGTACCCTGCGCTCGCCCTCCTGCTGCACAAGCTCCTTGTGGTGCTGCCGGGCCCATCTCTCCTCTTTTTCCTCCTCCCTCCACTGCTCTTCCTCCTCTTGCCAGCAGCGCTCTGTCCCCTGGGCACGGAGAAATTGGGGATGAGATTTGGCACCTTCACCATTCCTGTGTGTCTGTGGGAACCTCGGCCTACCTGTGCCTCCAGTTCCTGCCTGGGGGCTGTCTTCAGTTCCTCCTCCTGCTCCTTCTCCCTCCGACTGAGTTCCTTTGCCTCTTCAAGTTCTCTGATCAGCTGCTCTCGATACTTCAGGGTCTCTTCCTGTGCACGTCTGTTTAACTTGATTTTCTCTTGGATCTGGCGCTGTCTGCCTGCAAAGACCTGTGTGAACGCAGAGGATGGAGGGAGAACGTGGTTAAGCAGTTCCCAGAAAACACATCAGACAAGGAGAAAAATTCTGCCCTGGGTACAGAAGGCTGTGACCCTCTGGAGGGTGTAGGGTTACAACTGGAACAACAATTTCTTCGTGACAAGGGAGAAACCTCATCAAGAAGGGTCATCACCTCATTCATCAGGCGATCTCTGGCCACCTTCTCCCTTTCCCATTCTTCTTTCATCATCTCCCACACTTTTTTAGCTTCTTCCCTGAAGGAGAGAGGAGGAGTTATCTCTGAGGTTAAAATCCCTGTGTGCTCCACAGGCACAGAGGAGCTACCTCGTGCTTTAGAGGAGCATTTGGGTTTCTCTTCATGTTTGTTCCCAGGCAGGTGGCGTGTCCACCAGCCTGTGCCTCTGAGACCCTCTGACCAGGAACATTCAGCACACACAGTGTTCAGAGGATGTTCCGAGGTGGGCAGACTCACGTAAAAAGAGTCTCTAGCTCTGCCTCCCTCTCCTTTTCCAACTGGAGCTGTTCCTCGATGACACGCTTCATCCAGGCCACGTCTGCCACCCCCTGTTCCCGACACCCCAACTGCCGGAGATGATTCTCATTTTCTCTCTCGAGGAGGGCTGATAAGATTTGCCTGTCTGTCTCCTGGAGATAAACCACAAGATTAACAACTGTCCAACAGGCTTCCAGCCTGTGTGCAGGGCTCCTCTCCAGGTGTAACTGGTGACAGTGGCAAGGGTGTGCTCAGCAAGATGCTCTGCCTGCTGAGCTTTGTGCCCCAGCCCTGTGCACAAGCTGGAAGGGGCCTCCTGACTAATTATGCTGGAGGCATCAGAGGCAGACACAAACAAAACACACAGAGCAAGGCTTTTCACCACACAGTAAAGTATGAATCAATCTCTTACCAGCTCCTCCTGTATCTGCTGCGCTTGTCTCTTTAACTGGGCACCACACTGATGCCTCAAAAAGCGACTGAAGGAGGAAAAAAATGGCAAAATTTTAAAAAAAATCAAACATTCAAACTGACTCTATAAGCCCCTTGTTACTGTACAGCAGCACTCAATGAGGTACATCTGTAACAACATGACTTAGAGGCAGCAGAAGAACCTGCTGCAACAAACCAAAAGAAGAAAGGGCACCAGTGCATCTGCTCCTTGGCTGTTGTGGGTGAGTCCATCAAAATCCAAATATGTACATCCTACCACTGCTAGCTGGAATATCTCCTCAAGCCTCAAGTACTGCTGTGGGCTCAGGAACAGATTCTATCCAAAACAAGCTCCACTTGGTGTCATACCCAAGCTCTTTCTGCCTTCGGTGCTCTTCCATTCGTTTCCTCTCTTCTTCCAAGTTCTCCAGCTCCCACTGCTGCTTTAATAAATTCTCTTTTTCTTTTTTCAGCTTTTTTGTCTAAAAAGGAAAAAACAACCACCAAGACAGAGTACATCAGAGAGCTGCAACATCCCAGAAAGCCTGTTTGAACCAGAGTTTTTACCCCATGCTGCTCCTCTGCAGGCATGGAAAATCCCCCTGCAGTCGTATTCCACATTCACTTAATTCATGGCTCAGAGCACAGAGACACTGAGGAGCTCCTGCTGGCAAAGCCTTTGATCTGGACCTGCCACACTTAGAAGTTCCTACAATGCTTTTCTCATCTGATGCAGCACAAAACAGCACTTGCACTTCACAGAATCCCAGACTGGTTTGGGTTGGAAAGGACCTTAAATATGATCCAGTTCCAACCCTGTCATGGGCAGGGACACCTCCCACTATGCCAGGTTGCTCCAAGCCCTGTCCAACCTGGCCTTGAAGGCTTCCAGGGACTTCCCTGAACCCTTCAAGAGGAGCAAACAAGCTACAAGGGTTCAGCCATATGGCAGCATTCAAGGCAGAGGTCTGCAATACCAACAGAAACTGTCACAGCTATCTTCATCCCACATTTCATCCAGTGCAAACCCAGAGGGAAGAGGTCAGCTTGCTGTATTTCCAAGTGAAGCAGTATTTCCAAGTGACGTTTCTCCTCAAATGAGGAGAAACTTAAGATTACCTCTGCCTCCTGCAATTTCAGTTCTTCTATCTGCTGCAGCAACATCTCTGCTTGATTCTTCTTTTCCAGCTGATGCTTCTCTTCCTCTTGTCTCACCCTTGCCAGCTCTTCCCTTCGTGCCATTTCGTACTTGTTTTCATAACGTTTCTTCTCTTCAAGTTCAGTCACCTCTTCCTTTCCCAGCCAAAAGAAAACACAGCATTTCAGGTTAGGCTAATGCAAACAAACACCCTCTGGCTCAGATCCACAAATCAGCCTCCTGCAAGCTGGATGGTTTGGTAATAGTGCCCTTCCTGTAGAATTCCCTACTGCTGTGGGAATGAGCTCCGTGCCCTTGGTTGTTATTTGATTCAAGACCGAAAGAAAACAAACAAACAGCAACTCCTGTTCTCCTCCCACCTCTGAGCCAAGTCCATATGGGAAGACAAGATGTCTGCCAGCCAGGGCAAAAGGCACAAGTTTCACCCTCCACCAGAGTCCTCCCAGTGACAGAAACACCAGGGCTGCCACTCCATACCTTGTTTTTATTTGTTAGCTGATCACCCCAGGCCTCTATCACGTGCTTCTTGTGCAGCTGCAACTCCGCCTGGAGACACAACAGACATGGCATGGCCATCAGTGCCAGAGGTTCTCCTGTCCCCCGGGATCTTCCAGACTCTCTGGAGCACCATCTGGCCCAGCCACAGCCCTGAAGTCCCAGCAGGATGTGCCTCTGCAGAGGTGGGCTCGTCTGGGTGTCCACAGTGCCCACCACGTCCCAAGCTGAGGGTCAGTCTCACATGGGAAACGCCAGTGTGACAGTGACACCAGGGCTGGAGCAGCAGGTGGGTGGAATAAAGAATAAGGAAGTACCACAGCATGGCAGGGACTGCTGTAAAAAGCACCTGAGATACTTACATTGTGGAGGCTGAAAATCTGCTCTGAGTGAACAGACTTTTTTAAAAATACTGGCTTTGAAAGGGCTTCTTACACAGTTAAACCATTTCACTTTGCCTTTTACTGATCAGAGCTTGGGGCAGTTGCTGTGACATGAGTGACAACAATATGTGAGTGACTTTCAAGTTAAAAACTGGTTTAATAAGTACAAGACAGCACAGACTAAATAGAAAGTAACATCACCTCCTGGAGCTCTGTGCTGTTTTCCTTCCAGTGCTCTTGAAGCAGCTGCTCAGCAAACTGGGAACAGAGAGCTGGGTCAGGTCAGGACAGGGGAGGGCTCGGCATCCCAAACCCCCCCAGGGTTC